GCTTGTTCAAGCTAAAAGTGGCGACTCATGGATGTGGAAACAAATCTTAAAAACCAGGGACAAAGCTTTGTTCTCAAATGGAGGGGTTGATAACTTGATGCAATTGATTAACTCCTGTGTTAATAATTCAAAAGTTCAGATGTCAGTCCTCTACCATGCTCTCTCAGCAAACTCTGTGCCTGTACCATAGTATAACACAGTCTGGGAAGGAATCAGTTACCCAAAGCATTGAGCTGGCTAGCTGTGCAAAGCAGGCTGCAAACTCAAGATAGGCTTCTCAAAAGAGGAATTATAACTAGTAACTCCTGCTGTTTATGTACAAGAGCTGAGGAGAATAGAGATCACTTGTTTTTTGATTGTCATTTCTCAAGTGAAGTCTGGTTGCTTGTGATGGATTGGCTGAAATTTTCATGGAGATCTTGTGTGTGGAATCATATTATGGACTGGTATTGCTACAAGTTAAGAGGTAAGGGAGACAGGCAAAAGATCAAAAGGATGGCTCTCTCCTCAACACTATATTGCATATGGATTGAGAGGAATAACAGAATTTTCAAGAATAAATTCAGGAATGCAGTCCAGGTGTTCGGGGAAATAAAGATCAGTATGCTATACATCATCCTCAATAGTACAAGTCTTCTTGACAGCAGAGATTGGATACTGTCACTATAGATGTAAATAATTAGAATATGAAGTTGTAATCTCATATTTTGAGTATCTTGATGTACATTCTTTTCATATTTGGTGAATGAATAAAGTCTTTTTCATTGACCAAAAAAAAAGACATTGCCTATATGTCATACACAAAATACTGTTAGTTTCTATATCACTGTTTTTTCCGCAATATATATTTTTTACCTAGTGAAAATAAATATAATTAATATAATTTGTACATGAATAACTATGCCTGATATACGCGACAAATATCAAATATCATCATTATTTCATTGAGGAAGGTTTTTGCTTGTTTGTCCTTGACTTGAATTTAGACTTAACCTTTAGGAGTCAATTTATACACATAAAATTGCATAAATTAAATCTAGAAGCACATGAAAAAGGTGAACCTCTAAATATTTAAGATTCAACTTTTATTGGAATAAAATAAGATATATTATTTGCAAATGAGAAAAGAGCTAAGCATACACGATATGTACATATCAATATATTTAAGAAACTATTATATTATAAATGGGAAAAGAGTAAAGCACGTAATATGTAAGTATACAAAGTTCAATAACTTGTAATGGAAACCGTATATATACAAAACATATATATTTCATAAAATTTGGCAGAAGTATGTGTTTTAGAATAATAAATATTGAGATTAGGTATAAAAATAGATAGCTTTCAAATTAAAAATTAGATAACTTGAAAAATAAATACTTAACTTAAGAACGACAAAGTTTCAGATAGCTTTCAAATTAAAAATTAGATAACTTGAAAAATACATAGTTAACTTAAGAACGACAAAGTTTCAGAGATTGTTTTTTTTTCCTTCGGTGGTGAAGCAATGCATTATTCAAATAAAAAACTCAAAATAGACATGAATTATATTGCAATAAATAAAGTGACTTATAAAATTTTACTAATTATAGGAATAGAGAATTCAGTTTTGTACCCTTTTCTAGTGAGAAATTTGGAAAAGATAATCTATGTTTTTTTAAACACCAATCCCCTTTTAAAATAGGGAAAATTGCTTCAAGACCCCAAATTTTAATTTTTAATATGCCCTAGCTCCTTAACTTTCAACAATGTGCTGTACCCTTATTTTTTTGAAAAAATTATGCCCAGACCCCTCTCCCAAAGTTCCAATGCAACCTTCATCCAAAATCTTGACTTTACCCTCCTCCTCCTTCAGTCCTCCTCTACCGCCTCGCCCACCTCCCTCCCCAGCTCTGCCTCCCTCCCCGTCAAAAATCGTTGTTTTCATTGTGATTGAATCTATTACAACTTTAATCGTTTACAATAAACTCAAATAAAAAGTCGATCTTTTTGTAAGATCTCCTTATACAATAAAAATACAAAAAAATACGACTATTGTCAAACAGCGCAACAGACGTTTATCACCCGCTGCTTGCGTGGAAACTTCGCCTGTGCCAGGGACGTTAATATCCATGGACCGCCACGGATCAGATCCGATTGACAGATTAAGTTGATCAAAGCTCTTACTTCACGAAGGAAGTAATCGCTGCAGCGATGATCCCGACCAAGCGAGATCACGGTTCTTCTCGAAATTAAGACTAAGCTTAAATCCGGAGGAATAGGGGACGGGTCTCAGATCTCTCGAACTCCATTCTTTATGCACAGGAGATCGCCAGGATCTGCTAACCCTTGTTGTAAATTCGTGGCTCCACTCTCCAATTTGACAGTGTTTCGCCCTCTTGATGCCCTCACTGAAAGGAGACCCTCATTTCATATTTATAGGCCTCAAAATCGGTTAATTTGGATGAGAATGAGAGATTTGGCCATATCTTCAGTCAATAATGGCTTAACCATGTTTATGGATGATATCCAAGCAGTTGGGACGCTGTGAAACGAACAAATCCCGAGAAATATCAACAAAAATCATCAAAATACATTTCAGTCAGTTACAGACGCACGACAGACCGATGTGACCCGCGTGGGCACGGATCGGAGTATTGTAGTGCGCG